AGAGCACATTGATTTTATTTTCAATGGATTTGTGGAGGAGTATGACCCTCTTGAAACCTTGTGTCTAACGAGGAGCGAACTTTATATGGTTTCTAAGATTGAAGCTCTCTTGCTTCATCAAGAAGAGAGGCTTGAATGCCGCAAATAGAGAGAATCTGAAATGATTCAGGCAAATCTTGCACAAAACTCTAGAATGCCAAAGAGGGGAGGATCAAACTTTACAAGAGGAAGAGGCTTTGGTCGAGGACAAAATCGAGGAAGGGGTCATTTTGCAAGGCTAGGATACAACAATGGAGGACGTGGTCTTAAGATTCAAGCCGTTCCCAGATACAAAATCACTCTCGTTTTAGTCATTTGGAACGACCCGTTCTGGGCTACTATAAACACCCTTGCGAATTACTAAATTACCCTTATTGAGCTTCTGGGCCCTCGTACATTCTATGAAAATTGGGCTATTACATTACCCGTACCCGCTTACACCCTTAATTGTAGTTCTTTCTTATCTTGAGAAAATAAAATTTATTATTTTACTTTTTTATCATAAATTTAATACTGCATATATAAATAAATCCTTCACTATATAAATTAGAATATTTTCTTGAATTAGAGTATTTTAGGAATCGTCCTCAATGAAAATACTTTTACTTGATTTTCTTTCACAAGAACATTTGTTTTTTACCACTCGTAGTAAAGTTCGATTTATTTTTTAAAAATTATCAACAATTAAAATAATCATATCTTATAATATAAACTTAATTATTATAAATTAAATATTTATTCTATACAATACACACATTAATATACTGAATACTAGAGCCGATTCTCTTAAATAAGATTTTAAGTATAACATAATTAAAATACGAGATTCTGTTAAAAATATCAAATAAATATTTCATACTAATAACATGATTATTAAAATAAATTACACTTTTTAACGTTTTATGATAATTAATTCATAATATTAGTCTCCAATATTTAATTTATTTTATAAAATTTTTAATTTTTATTTTATGGTTAAATATTTTTTTTATTGATAGTTAAAATTGTAAAATTGACTATGATCTCATATTAAAAATGATATGATAATTAATATTAAATAATACTTAATAAAAATACACTTTTAGTTTTCATTTTTAAATTATTTTTATTTTCTTTTTATCATATTTATGAGATAAAATAGAGATTAAAAATATAATTTAATCTAAATATTATAAATATCAAATGTTATGTTATTTATTTAATATTTATCATAATCAACATATAATTTAATTTAATAATTAATGAATGAATATTTAGTGATAAAACTAAGATTGCATATTTTATAAAATTAAGAAACTAAAATTATAAAAATAAAAATTTGAATAGAGAGGGAAAAAATTATAATTTAAGTTCCCTATTCATTTTCAATGCATCTTCATTATGACTTTTAATAAATGAAAAATATAATTTTCAATTTGTTAGTCAATATTAATATATTATTAAAAGCATTAGATAACAAGATAAGTATATTAATTAAAATTAATTTATTGTAAACAATAATAAATGCATTAATTAAATTTGTAAATAATGATTAATTCATTCAATAATTTTTAAGATTTTGATTCATTAAATATTTTTTTTAAATTAAATATTATAAATTTAATTCAGTTATGAAGCATGTGCTCTCTTTACGACATATCCTAAAAAAATATATTATAAATTGTTTGATTATCAAAAAAATATTTTTTTTTATCATGATAATGGTGAGAATATTTTTTGATTTTATCTACTAGTCTTCCTCAGGACTTAATTACATTAAGATTATCTTTTTCAATATCATTTTTTTATTTAATATAGAACTTAAATTTGAGACATTGAGGTTTTATAATTAAAAAAGCATTTTATACTTAATGAAAATACATTCAATTATATTTTAAAAAAACAATATCTTATTCAACACATTGATTTGAATAAAGTCGGATTCACATTATTTTAACAATGTATCAAATTCAAATTTTATGAAGAAAAGAATGGGATTGAAAGTATATCATAAGTTTGATTGTATATAAATTAGAAGTATTTTTAATAGTAATTTCTTTTTATATAAAAAATATTTATTTTCATTAGAAGTATTTTAAAAAATCTTTATAATCTTGTATCTAAATGGGTTCTAAAAATAGTTAATTAGATCCCCAATAAAAACTAGTTATCGATAAAATGATTAATATTTTCTGCTAATAACATTAATATAACATAGTGATCAAAAGAAAGGGGGAAAAAAAAAAACTTAAACTCGGAGTTGGTCTTCACTTGAGAACTATAAAAAGACATCAAGCCAAGCAGCTAGTGAGACTAAAACCAAAATTCCAAGAAGAAATCATAAAAAAACATCAAAATGGTTAAATTCACACTTACATTATCCTTAATCTCTTGTCTTATGATGGTGTTCTTTTCCTTTGGTGTGTCATCTTTTCCACCCACTAAAGTTGTGGATGTAAAGACCATTTGCAAGCTCTCCAAAAACACTTCATTTTGTCTAAACTTTCTAAACTCAAAGCCTGGTGGAGCACATGGTGCAAATTTGGATACTCTTGGACAATACACCTTCAACCAAACTCTTGGCAAAGTTACCAACACCATTACCCTAATCAAGCAACTTATTGCAAAGGGTAGTCCAGATCCTTTGAAAGTATTTCACTATAAATATTGTATGGGGAGTTTTATTCGTGTCAAAAGTGACATTGAGTATGTTCAAAGCATGTTCAAGTCAAAAGATTATCGCAACATACGCCTTGTTGTGGAGGATAGCCTTAATTCATCTCTTAATTGTTTACAAGTTCCTCCTGAAAATGATGATCCTTCCATGCTTCCAAAATATATTAAGGCTATCCAACTAGTTGAAGGGGTCATTCGTGCTATATTAGTTTTGTTAGGAATATAGTTGCTTTTTCATGAAAAATAATGTTTGGGTAACGATGTAAGAATGAAGTTGATTTGTTCATTCTCTTTCCTTATCTTTTTTGAATTAGTTTTATTATTTGTGTTTATAGTGATCACTTGTGCTAGATTTTGTTAAAAAATTATATCAAGATGACTTGGTGATGAGAAGTGTTATTTTTTTATTAGTTAAAATTCATTAAAAAATTAACTTCAAAATTATGATAAATATTTATTAAATAAAATGTGAGATCAATCAAATTTTCTGATTTTTTTTCAATAAATTTTAAGCAATAAGATAGTGAGGTATAAGAGAGTGTGTTTCTTACCTTTCTTAATTTTTTTTTTGTTACAGAAGAAAAAAATAGTAAGTAGTCTAATTAACATGGAAAACATTCTTTCCATTATTTCTATTAATATGGTTTTGGGAAAAAGATCCTATCTAAAATCATAATAATATAAATAATTGAGAGGAAATGAAATAAAAAGAATTTAATCTGATTGATTGAATTTTTTTTAAATATATTGAAGTTCCAAAAATTTAAAAAGTGTGTGGGAGAGAAGGACTAGTAAGTTTATATATTCAATGTATTTATCTTTAAAATTATAAAATTAATTAAAATTTAATAACATAAAAATTCATGTTAGAAGCTTTTGTGGGCCCTTGTAAAACGAGTGGCTGAACATTTTTTCTTTTTATTTATTTTAATGACAATTCTCACAGCCACAAGATGAGTCAAGGAGCTACACATGATGAGTTTCCTTAGAATTAAAATTTAATAAAAAATATAAATAAAGATAAACATAAAGTTTAATTTCTATATAATATTAACATAAAAGATTGGCATCAACAATCCGTAAGAATTTATAATATGAAGGAGTTATTGATCTAAGTAATATTATATTCAATTTTTTAAAATAAAGTTTCTAGCACAAATTTTGTTGAAAGAGAGATTCCGTTAAAAATAATTAACTATGTTTTATTATAAAAATTAATTATTGACAAAATTGATAAATATTTTATATTAATAATATAATTAAAAGAAATTATACCAGATATAATCATATGAAAATGTAAAAACTTTTTCATCCCTGTCTATAGATTATTCATCCATAAACATATCAAATATATTTAAATACATTAAAAAATAAACTTTTCTCATTATTTAATATTTTAAAATCCGTTAAGGAAAAGATTTAGAAGGATTTACCATTATTTAAAATTTCAATTTTATTTACACATCAAATGATGCATGTAAGTCACAAACTCTCGTCGTTTTGTCATGTCTTTTTCATATATCACTTTCAACGATGGGGAATATATGCTAGAGTAATGTTTATCACACAATCCACGTGAGAGTGTGAGAAAGGTCGTAAGAAGACAAAGGGAAATAAAGTAGCAAAGAAAAAAAAATATAATTGACAAAACAAAATAAAAAGAAAACAGAAAAGAATTTAACTAAAACTAGTATTTTTAGCATATGATAAAAAATTATTTCATATAGTTATAATTTAAAATAAATAAATATTTTAAATGTATAAATTGTATTATATTTGAAATTTATAATAAATATTTAAGTATATAAACTTTATATTTAAGATTTATAATTATTGAAAAAAAATTAAGTTTCATATTAACTAAAGATGAGACAATTAATAAGTATAAGAGTGAGAAACAATACCCATCTTACAAATGGTTATAGGATTGAGTTAGTATTTAAATCACTTTCTTAATTATAGTTATTTTAGTCATTCACTATTGATACACACGCCAAGATCAATAGTGTTAGACATGAAAGAATGTATTAAAAAAAATTTAAAGTTTGTTAGTCTTAGATCATTGAAAAAGTCATCGACCATTTATTCATATATCAATAAATAGTGTTGAACGTAAAGAGATATATTAAGGAAGAAACAAAAAAGCTAAGTCCAACATTAAATAAAGATAAAGCAAGCAAAAAGTGTATAAGTAGGGTTATCTTCACCTTACTAGTCGATTTTATAAAATTGTGTTAAACTCTAAATATTTTTTTCAAATAATAAATAATAAGCTTAAATGCAACTTTTGTTCCTCAATTGTAGCAATTATGAGATTAAAATTTGAGGAATAATTAAAATTACTTTATTAAAATTATACAATTACAATATTTGAATAAAAATTACTCAACTAAAATATGAAGAACCAAAATTACATTAAAATTTGAGGAAAAATTAAAATTGTTTAAATAAATTATATACTTAAGAAATTAATGCTTAATTAAAATTTGAGGACCAAAATCACACAATGAAAATATTTAAGAGAATAAAATTGTTCCATTAAAATCTTAGAGACCAAAATCACGTAATTATAATACTATAAGAATAAAAAATAAAATTAAGCCTAAATAATAATGTAATCCATAATTATTTTTAATCATTAATTTTTTTTAAAATATTTAAATTCAATGTACAACTAACAATTAAAAAAATAATTTAAAAAAGATGAAAGGTCAAGAAAAATTCCTAAAAAAATAATCTTATTAAAAAAAATAAAAAAACACTTTTTTCATAATGAATAATTTTTATAAGAGAAATTAACTGATCACTAATCACAAATATTTTGAATATTTAAGTAAATGAATTGGATCAAACCAACTTACTTTAAAAAAAAAAATGAGTTAGGATGAACTAAATTAAACCATCCAATCAACCCTTTCATAAGATTTAGTCTGAATTTTTTCTCATTCATAGTGAGTGATTTACTCAAAGTTATCGAATATATATTTTTTTTAATAGAAATGTAAATTCTGGTTAAATTGTATTAAAACCGCACTCCAAAATTAAAAAAGACAAGTTTATATTATATTATCCTAAACTAGTGTCACCCTCAAAAAGAATTTGTGCCAATTTTGTTTTTCCTTTTTGAATACTTTTCCAGTTCCAAACTCTCACCGTGTAATCCCTCATTGAATCTCGTTTGGTGGGTTGAACAACGAACGGTTCTACCTTGAGCTTTGAGCTTTTCAGTACAAATCATGGTCCCCAGTGGCAGCAACCACCCTTTTCTCATCCACACACTCAAAAAAGCATAGCGATCCCACTTGCGTGGCCTTATCACTCCAACATGTTCGCCATATTCATAGGTTAGTGGTTGTGAACACAAACTCTTTGCTCCCCACGTTACACTAGTTACTCACTTTCCTTCTCTTCACAAAAAATAACCTACTTCTTTCTCTCTCCAACAACATCATAATATGTCTCTTACTCTAACCATCAAACTACACTTGGCTTCACCACCCCACTTTAGCCTCAACCATGCAAACAAGGTAATAACTTGCAAAACCAAAACTTTTTCCAATCCCAACAACCACACCAAGGTTGGTGCCAAGCCCATTTATAGTGCCACCCCTTTGATCACCCCGTTGCGTATGGTGAAGCCTAGAGTGCAGTGTAGCAGCATGATCAAGAGTTCTTTGATTGAGCCTGATGGGGGGGCGTTGGTGGATCTTGTGGTGCCCGAGTGTGTGAGGGGTGCTAAGATCATTGAGGCTGAGACACTGCCCAAGGTGCACCTCTCAAGGATTGATCTTGAGTGGGTGCATGTGGTGGGGGAAGGGTGGGCTAGTCCCTTGAGAGGGTTCATGAGGGAGGATGAGTATCTTCAGAGTTTGCATTTCAACTCCCTTAGGGTGAAAGATGGCTCTGTGGTGAATATGTCTCTTCCCATTGTGTTGGCCATTGATGATGAGACCAAAGGGAGAGTTGAGTCCGCCACCCATGTGGTGTTGGTCGGGCCTGATGGAGATTATGTTGCCATTCTCCGAAGGTTAGCCTTCTGCCATTTTTTATTTTTTTTTTTTGGTTTCTGGTTGGTGTTTTGTTTCTTGTTGATCCATGAAATCGAACTCGATACAAAAGGAGTTTATAACAACTCCAACATTCTGTCCAATCAACTGAGTTAGACTCCTTTGGTTTGTGTTTAATTTCTTGTTGATCCGTTGAAATCAAAATTGCTAACAAAGGGTTTTACAACAATTCAGGCACCTGTTCAACCAATTAAGCTAGACTACCTTGGTTGCTGTTTAATTTCTTTTTGATTGTTCAATTGTGTTGTATGAGAAATTGGTGCGTTGTTTAATGGTTTCAATTGTGAAAAGGAACAAATAGTAGGAGTGTGGTACCTGCATTTGAATTCCTAATGAGAAATTAGCATTGCAAAGGATTTTTTTTAGGGCTCCAAGAAATGGGGTTTGTTCAGCTGATTATTGTGCCTTAATGGTTATAAAGGACTTAGAGTCTATTTAGATATAAGTTTAGAAGCGTTTTTTGGAGTTCTCTTGGATAATACTTTTTTATTTTCTGTAAAGAAACTCTAAAAAGCACTTCTAATTTGTATCCAAACAAGTTCTTAGGTTTGGCTTCTGCTTCAGAAAATATACTTTGGGAGATCATTAGCAAACATCAATATAACCATGGCTGAGGCTTGTGGCATGCCCTGCCATGAAAATGTGGTGGCCTCCCTTCCTGCCCTTTTACTTTTATGCTGACTATTGTAAAACTGAACAAAAATTTATAGAAGGCTTAGTTAATGGAACAATTCACAGAATTTCTCTATTGAACTATCTCAGTCATAAAAGTTATTATTGAGCTATCTTAGTCAAGTTACACTTTTTTACCCTTCAAAATGTTAATATGGCCCTTAAGTTGGAGCATAAAGATTTGACATGCCAAACTTGCTGAGGGAGGATGGGAATTGTTTCCATCCCAATTCTTTGGTGAAGATGTCAATGAACTGCAAGTAAAGTAAGTGGCATTGTGCTGTGGGGGTATTTCCTGTGTTTGAACTTGTTCACAAACAATATGGTGGCAGTCCATTTCAGTATTTTTGGTGTATTCATGAAAGATTTAGAAAATATATGGAATGCGGATTTGTTGTTATTATCATGAAAACCTTTGACAGTGAATTCAGAGGTCAAGAGATTGTCATGTAATTGTACTTATCCTGAACATGCTCATCTGAGCAAATTTCAGTGGCTTTTAAGCATCTCATTGACAAATCTATATTTGTTTTTGAAACACGGGGTATTTGAATTTGATATTGCCCTCATATAAATGGCATAATTTTAATCTTTGGGAATATCAAAAACCAAAGGAGTGCCTGGATTATCTAAAATTTAAGGAATATGATGAAAAGGGATAAAGGACTGTTAGGTTTAGGGGTTTGCAAAGCTTTAATCATTCCCAGAATTTCGTTTGTGCTTTTTTCTATGGAGCTAAGATGAATAATTTTTTAGAATATGCAGTGCAAGCATGCTACTCTGATATCATATAAAATTGAACATAAATATAAACCTAATGAATAAGTGGTGTAACTTGTGTGTTTGGATTGTATGAGACTGATTATGTACATCTATGACCCTCAATTGAACACTTTAAATGACCGAGTGAAGGACTAAGTAAAAATTGTTAAGAACTACTGAACCATCCTAAGTTATTTGTCTTTCAATGTGCCTCGCATGTTGAGACTTGGATGATCAGAGTCCTTCCCTTCAGTTCTCGGTCTTCAGTTTTGCTTTAACTGTAAGTCAAAAAGTCATTTTAGATGTTAACAAAATTTCTGAAGTGCATTGGCTATCTAAATAAATTTCTGTCTTGGTGTCTCTTGGCTTCCATTAACCATTAAGCTTCTATACAGTATTGAAATCTACAAACATAACAAGGAAGAAAGAATAGCTAGAACATGGGGAACAACTGCTCCTGGACTGCCATATGTTGAGGAGGTGATTACTCCTGCTGGAAATTGGCTTATTGGAGGAGATCTGGAAGTGATAAAACCTATCAAATATAATGATGGTCTTGATAACTACAGGCTCTCTCCCAAACAACTCCGTGATGAATTTGACAAGCGTCAAGCGGATGCAGTTTTTGCCTTTCAGTTAAGAAACCCTGTGCACAATGGCCATGCCTTGTTGATGAATGATACTCGGAAGCGCCTATTGGATATGGGCTACAAAAATCCTATTTTATTGCTTCACCCTCTTGGAGGTTTCACAAAGGCTGATGACGTACCCTTGGATGTCAGGATGGAGCAACATAGCAAGGTAATTCCCATTGTTCTTCTCAAAAAGCATGGAGTAATCATTATGTGCATGTGCTATAACAATATATTCTCAGACATGACTTTGGAAGTGATTGAACTGTCATTCAATTTCAACAATCTATTCACATTTAATTGCACAATTCATAGAATTTTATCCTATCAAGTTCTTTTGTTCTTAGGTCCTAGAAGATGGAATTCTTGATCCTGAGACTACCATAGTCGCCATATTTCCATCGCCTATGCATTATGCCGGTCCAACTGAAGTACAGTGGCATGCCAAGGCACGGATAAATGCAGGTGCTAACTTCTACATTGTCGGTCGTGATCCTGCTGGTATGGGTCACCCAACTGAGAAGAGGGATTTGTATGACCCTGATCATGGAAAGAAGGTGCTCAGCATGGCTCCTGGTCTGGAGAAGCTCAACATTTTGCCATTCAGGGTAAGTGATATTACTTCTACATATGGCTATAGGTTCTTGCTCCTCTATGAAATATGCTCTCTCAATGCTATCTTCTTCACAATAATACATATTTTGTACTAAATTTCTATATAGTTGATACTCAATTAAATCAAGTAATTGACTGCATAGTCATGCATGCATGCCATGTTTTGTTCATTTATACACAAAAGTTACTTTCATAAGTTTAATATGCTACCTGAAATCATGCTCTGATGAATTATTTGTTTCCTCTAGTGACTATTTGGACCACACTTATGTCTGTTGATACATGTGCCTTGTTTGCCATTTTTAAATTACAGGTGGCAGCTTATGACACTAAGGTTAATAAGATGGCATTTTTTGACCCAACCCGTGCCAAAGATTTCCTCTTTATATCTGGAACCAAGGTATTTGATTCGCTGTCATTCAATGAAGTATTTAAGGCTCCATCAACCTTAAATTTGGTATTTGTTACATAAAAATATAGTCAACATATCATATTAAGTTACAATGTCAGGATCCTGGTTCCTTCTTCTTACTTGAATTGAATCTAGCTGCAACATAAACAAAGTAATTGTTATGTATTATAAGTGGGGTTGGTTGGAACTTGGACCAATTAAAGAAAGGCATTGAATTTTACTAAAACTCTGTATGTTAATCTTCAAGCTTATATATGATTATAATAGGATAATATTTCAAAATTCAGTTCTAGTCCCAATAAATATTTAAAACGTCTTTAATTCCTACATTTATCAAAAGTAATGTGGTTTTTGCCCCTCGTCAGGGATTCAAAACATGTGTTTATGTTAAAATGTAGAAACTGAAAATGTAATCTTTTTATAGGGACTAAAACTGAATTTCTAGATATTTTGAAGAGCCAAAAACATACTTTACCCATTATAATATGCAAATTGCAAAACATTAAGATTTTGGTTCCTGTCAATGTGATTGTGTGCCTTGTTTACTCACACCATGTGTATCATCAAGTTTTGGTTTCTGAATTCCTTTGACCAATGGACAACTATTCTTTTCAAATTTTCATGGTTTCTTTTATGTTTATGTTTCCAGATGCGGGCTTATGCAAAGAGTGGGCAGAATCCGCCAGAAGGTTTTATGTGCCCAAGTGGGTGGAAGGTTCTTGTGAAGTACTATGAAAGTTTGCAAGCAGAAGAGGCATCCCAACAGCCTGTGCTATCATCTACTTAGACATAACTAGAAGTAGAGGTTTAGCATCAATTGATTCCAAAGGGAGAGTGTTAAAAACACATTTCTGGGAGTGCCAATTTTTATGCATGGTCTTCCAGCTTCATGGTCAAGATTTAAGCAATGCGCAAGAATATTTGAACTTTTTGTACTATATTGAATTATCCTTTTTCTTTACAAATTACTATGACAACAAGAATTTCTTGTGGTGCGTCAAGCATAATTGCAGATGTAGTCTTCTATCTATAGACTCATGATCTGAAAGTCCAGTTCAATAAGGGTTAGAGAAATTCAGCATAGCCTTGGTGCTTATGTATATTTAAAAAGGGCATATATGTGCTCAAGGTTTTTAAGGGTTCTTGTGACCACATTGTTACTGTAATTGCAGTCACATTGACTACATTTTCACTGGTGAAGACATTGGCTTATATTTGTCAATAATTTTGTAAGACGTCACGGATCATGACAAAACCACAACTATGACTACAATTTAAAACCTTTGTCCTTTGATGAGCTAGAAAGTGGTGGATGTGAGATGGGATCACTGTTATACTGTTGGGTAAGTGTATTATTGGAGTGTAACTGATAGAACCAGATTGATATGCAAACCTATTTTACTACTAAGAAAAGAATTATGGTCTGAATGCCCTTTCATTTTATTTGAGATGGTATTTATAAGGATTACAATTGCCAACCATTGGCTCTCCGCAATTGTCGGCAACAGAAAATGAAATCTACTAGCCAAATGCAAAAGCAAGGATAGGTGGCAGCAATTCTAACAAACTCCTGCAATAACATCTATCAATGACACCTAAGAGAGTAGCCAATTTCTCTAAATGTGATTCATAGTATCTGTTCAAGTCATTCAAATAATTAGGCCTTCTTGTGTGTCTCTTGGGCCGAGCATCATGGGCTGGAGTGACACTAATGATTGGGTTGCTATCATTACCCTCTGCTGGAAGAAGCAACTTGTCCTCAAGTTGAAAAGCTGATTGTAGGTCATCCCATTTCTCCCACGTTGTATCCGTCGGGTTCTGGGGGTTCATGAATAGGGGGGTCAAGATCAGAAGTGGTGTGAGACGTGTCGTCAGCAATGAGTAATAGAGCGCTACCCTTACAACGGTGGCCAGCACTAAACTTTTCGTCGCAGTTGTAACAGAGACCCTTCTTGCGACGAGACGCTAACTCTGCTGGTGTCAAATGCTTGAAAGGAAGTTTGGATGCGGAAGAGGCCAAAGTAGTGGATGACGAAGACTGCGTAGTATTGCGAATCGGGCGTGTGCAGTCGTTGAGTTTATCCTCCTGCAACTTGGCAGGAAGCGAAATGGGTTGGAGGGCTTGAACTTCACGTCGCAACTCTGGTGTAAGCCCAGAAAAAAAGCAGCTCAACAAGAAGGGCGGAGCAAGTCCAACGATGCGGTTGGCTAGTCGTTCGAATTCGGTGAGGTACTCGTTGACAGACCCATGTTGAGAAAGTTTGAACAACATACCCTTAGGGTCATCGTAAAATGAAGGAGCGAAGCGCGTCTCAAGAGCCTAAAGTAAGCCGGCCATGACGTGATAAAGCCATTACGGAACATCCATTGAAACCAACTAAGAGCTGGGCCGTCCATATAAAAAGAAGTAATGGTTAGGGATGGCAAAACGGGCCAGCCCGGCCCGTTTTGGCTCGGCCCGGCATCGGTC